CATGAATTCAAGAAATAAGGGTTCAGGAATGGAGGCAGGTCCCAGGCAACCTCTGTAGAGATCATCTGCACATATCTGTGTTCTGCAAGGGGACATTTGTGTATAGACTAACACTGTCAAAAGAGACTAATATTTTGTCATTAGAGTTTATTGAATAATTTCTGATAAATTCAGAAAAAGTAAATGAGTCTGGTACACAATAGGCTGAGAAATAATCGGACACTGGTTTGAACAAGTCTGATAACCATTTAGCCAATTCATGTTGTACTGAACCCATCATAGATAAGATGGTTCGCAAAGGTACATCATTTTTATGAATTTTTGGCAACCCGTAAAGCCTGGGCCGTTGAGAACCCGCAGGTCTAATTCGGTTGTAGGTGTCTTTGCATATAAAATTGCTTTTATACACACCTAACAACCGTTTCTGGAGTTTTACTTCCAATTTATCAGTACGGTCGTGAGTTGAAGATGGACCAATTAAGCAAAACTTAGAAGAATCTCCTAGAATGATATCAATCTTATTAACATGGTCACTTTATCTGGTTTGGTGATGTAAATGTCGTTATGGGTTTTTAAGTGTTTAATGGTTTGACAGTGAGCGTGGCGCCACGCAACAGTATCACGTTCAATAGGTAAAGAAACATATTCATATCCTATTTCAGAAATTCTAAATTTACAGAACGTGAATTAATCTATGGAGGAAGTAACATGACGAATAAGCTGAGAAAACATTATTTCAAACTCAGAAAAAAATTCTGCCTTGTTGAAATTTCGAGGGGGAATACAAAAAAAAGTCCAACCCTCTGAACAAAACAACTTTCTCTAACTTAGAAAGATTGACACTAGACAGATTAAATATATGTCTGTCTAATGAAAAGTTCTCAAAGTCAAACCGTTTAGAAATTAAATGGTTGATGTAATTCTGATCTTTGGCAAACGATCTTTCGCCGAAATTTAATCTGCTTTTAGCTAGATATATAGAATAACGAAAAAAAATCAAAAAACGATAATTGTTTTTTGATTTTGCCTCTAGAAGATCGATACATTGTTTAAGCTGAAAGAGGCAGTTCCATTTGTTTATTAAGCTCATATTGAATAAAAGCTTTATCCAACTGGAAACTGTAGTCGACTTTTGCTCTTATTAGTCTACGTCTGATAAAAGATGGGACAACACCAAAAGACAAACAAGCAAGGAGAAATTTTCTTTTGGTGCGTAAAGAGATCTTAAAACTTCCTCGTTGCTACGCTTTGTCATCTGATTTTTAGATGTTTAAATGATTTCATAGCACAGAATAAATAGATCGACGTAAATAAATACAATTTTGTTTTCATTTTTTTCTTTTTCTTTTAAGGATCTAGGTAACCTTTCCTCAGGTACCGATCGTTGGCAGAACTAATTTAATTTTGATCTGCAGATATCACCAATTTCCGTATATCTGCAGATCAAATCCTCAAATCCGTTAAGTTAATTCTGCCAACGATCGGTCCCTGAGGAAGTGTTAGCCGAAAAGTTACCTAGGTCCTTAATAGAAAAAAAAAAAAAAAAAATGAACAGAAAATTTTGTTCATTTAAGTCGATCTATTTATTCTAATGGTATCAAAACATTATATATATATATATATATATATATATATATATATATATATATATATATATATATATATATTGAATACTATGTTCCTTCAGAGTGCAATGCAATTATAATTCTTCATAGGTTCCTTTTTTATTATCTCTGAAAAGTCATTCTTTCTTGGGAAAGATAATAGTGGTTATCTCTACGCTTTGGTATTCAGAGTGTTTCTTGCCTTAGCCTAACTGCCACCCAAGGCTAGTGAACCAAGTCTACTCATTTATTTAACCCATAACTGGTAGGAGAAGAAACGAATTTGTGTCTTTTCCCAAAGAGAAGATAACAAAAAAGGGGTGAGTAGAAAGAGAGAGAGAGAGAGAGGAGGGAGGGAGCATAGAATAGACAGTCATATTTATTACGCATACTTATGCCAGACTATTAGAAAGTTTACAATCATGGGTGGTATTTGTCTGCTTACCCACTCGAATATAAAGTGATATAAGGTCGAGTTTACATTGGACTTCTTTTATGTGTAATGTTCCTTTAGGACATGGCTGACCTACACAACTCTATAGCTTTAAACACTGTTTGTCCTCTTACTGTCCCTCCCAATCACTGTACTGCCATCCATTTACATAAGCCCGTTAGATTGCTACCTCGATATTTCCCTCCCAGTATTTCCAGTGTGTCAACTTTTCCAAGCCCTTTTTCTTCGTTATTTCACCGGTCTCTTTCTGGTTTTAAGCGTACTTTTTGTTACCATTTTCCTTAAAACTTCCTCGTTGCTCACAAGTTCCGTATTCTCAGTATCCTTCTGTAGAACCAAATCTCTATTGCCTCAACTTTCCTCTTCATCTGTGAGGAAACTGTCCAGTATTCACTGCCATATAGGACGATTGATATTACATTGCAGTTCAGCAAGTTCAGGTGCTAGGGGATAATTCTAGCCCCCATCTCGAAAGAGAGGTATTGCCAGAGAGGTGGAAAACAGCCTCCTGGGACTCAAGCACGGTACGAGGTATGTATACTATTTTCATTAATGTAATATAGTAACAACTCAAAGCTTATGAAACTTTATTTGGCCTATTCTGTTTAGTATTGAAAAAGGTTTATTTTATTGGCATGGATGGTTAAGAGCGAGAGTTGAGATGGGATGTGCTTATTTTATTACCGTAATTAATATCAAATGGTTAAGTACTTTCCAGAAAAACCTTATAATTTTATTCTCAAATCTAACCCATGAACATTGTCGTTTACGGTGTAGTATGGATGTTGTACGCCTTATTTTCAAATTTGAAAATGATTATAATTTTAAAAAAAATAATCTTAACATACTGTAGTTTGCAACATTAGGAGGTCTCTAGTAAATATAAGTAAATGGTTGTCTGCTGATCCCTCTAGTAGACGTCTGCTCAAGCACATTTGTTTTTCTTCCACTCCCACAGAGCCGAGCGAACCTTAGTTGCAGTTTCTGGGAGAGAGCTCTTAATCTGGCCTGATCAACAGATTTGAACAAGGCTAGTATGCTGAGAACTTCAGTCACGTCCTAGCACAACCATCGAGGCTTTCCGAACAGTTTCGTCTACTTAATTTCACTCCCGGCTAATATCAAGAAGTCACCTCCTTGAAAACCGACCATAGTGAGCAGGGCTAATGTTCTAACTCCTCGACCGTATGCTCATTAAAATATGTCTACTTCATATTTCAAACGGTTTATTTTCAGTTATTTTGGTGCCGTAATAGTATATGTTTTAATTGAGATAAAAGTACTGATTCGAAGAGTTAGGAATTGATTGCAGTCGCATTAGAAGCAAATGTAATTTGGTTGTTACTTAAGAATCTTACAATTTAGTTATAAATGTAGACAGAATTAATAACAATTTTAACAAAAATGTCATTGATTTTAATGTCGATGATCTATAACAATTCTTTTGAATATTTATTTCTGAATTAAAAGCTTAAGCAAATATTAAGAAAAATTCATCTTAAATTTTATTGATATGATTTATAAAATCTGGTAACTATGAAAATAAGACCAGAACATTCCCGCCAATCTTCCAAGTTGTTTTGTGAGTTAGAAGATAGAAGGAAAAATATAAAAATACCAGTTAAAAAGTGTTTTAGAACGGAATTTATTTATTTGACATGGTTCTTCTACTATCCATTATCATCTTTTAGACACCAAATATTTATCGGTAAACATATTAATCTCTTTAATTTGTCTACTATGTGATGCTAATATATATTCCTTGCTTCTTCTTATTTACGAAAATAATTCTTCTTATAATAATCTTTGGTAAAGAAAACAGAACTTTCGTTTAATGAGCAACGAAACCGTCAGCCTGAAAGATCCCGGGGAACATTTCAAGACATTTTGTCTCATTACTGAAAAATATTTTACTTATTAATACGTTTCTAAAATAATAATAATAATAATAATAATAATAATAATAATAATAATAAAGTTTGTTTGGAATATGGAATTCTTGAATACAAACTAATCACTTCGTTTTTTGCAATATTAAAAAAATGATTGCAGTATGACATACAAATGATTAAAACAAAACTTGTTTACTTTCATTTCATTACATGAAAACTATAAAAACAATCATTTAATCGCACATAACTTAGATGTTAGAAATTCAAATAACTTACTTTGATTAAATCATTTTGTCAAATAACAGTTCTGACAAAATTTAAAACGTCGTTAAAAATAAAATAAAAAGGAAAATATTTCATATGTATATCAATTGTTCATATAATCTTTCATCGGAGGCTTTATTAATATGGCTTCTATTAATATGCCTTTATTAATATAACTTTTATTGATATTACCTTTATCAATCTGGACTTTTTAATTTAGCCTTTTTTTTAATTTGGCATTTATTAATTTGGTCTTTATTAATTTGGTCTTTATTAATATGGCCTTTATTCATTTTTGCCTGTATTAATTTGGCCTTTTTTTAATATTGCTTTTTTTTAATTTGGCATTTGTTAATTTGGCTTTTATTAGTATGGCCTTTATTAATTTAGTCTTTATTAATTTGATCTTTATTAATTAGTTTTTTTTATTTCGCATATATTGATTTTGCCTTTATTAATATGGCCTTTATTAATTTGGTTTTTATTAATTTGGTCTTTATTAATTTGGTCTTTATTAATATAGCCTTTATTGATTGGGACTTCATTAATTTGGTCTTTTTATTTTGGCCTTATTTTTTGTTTGGCATTTAATAATTTTGACATTATATGGCCTTTATTAATTTGGTCTTTATTGATTTGGTCTTTATATATACCTCTTATTGATTTTTCGTTTATTAATTTGTTCTTTTTTAATTTGTTCTTTTTTTTAATTTGTCCTTTTTTAATTATTTTTTTAATTCATGTCTTAGTCCTACGAAAAGAACATCTTTTCTCTTGTCTTTACAGCTTTTTTGAAACTCGACAAGAAATTAAAATGTATTTTCCAAAGATTGTGCGAATCAGTGAATCGAATCAACTGGAGTGGGACATCGACAGGAATATGTTGCAGCAACACGGTTTGACTGTCATGCAAGGAATTGGTGCCGCCGTTGAAAATCTAGACGACAGTCGTTTCTTGAACGGAATTCTTTTCACGGTCGGACAGTCACACGTTAACCGCCATATCAAACCAAATATGCTTAAAGTAAGCTTTATGTCTCTTTTCTCTTTTTTATTTTAGTTTTTGTTAACCAATAAAAAAAATATATAGTAATATAATAATATAATAATAATAAAAATAGTAATATTGTTTGTTACCGAATATCAAAGTTGGCAACACGAAATATGTGAACGTTTTTTTTTGTTTTTTTTTTTTTTTTCTAAACTCTGTTTTCCCATTTCGATTATCATTTAAATTAAATTTTATGTGCAGTCGAGGGGTGGGGGATTAGGCTGCTGCATACTCGAAACCGGAATTCCAAAGGGTGGCTGAGGAGCCAAAATGTACCCCGGGAATTTTCTGGGATCTCAGAAAATGTTTCAACTCGTGCGTAAAATCTGCAAGGAATAGAGAGAGAGAGATGGGGTGGCGGAAGGAGGGGAAAAGAAAGCGGGGGGAGAAGTGAGCTCGAAAGAAACTTTTTACTCTGATAAAATTCCACTAAGTGACCTTAATACATACTTCCTGATTGTTGCATTTTATTATAGTTTATTATTTGTTTAACAGCATATCAACTCCTTATGGGTCATTTAATGTCGAAATTTAATTTTCTTGGGAGTTTTGAAGTAATAAAAATAAAATGTTATTCTGCTTTCACAATTCAATACATGGTAGACAATACTCAGCTTTTGCGCATATACATATTTGTATTTAGTGTATTGAGGTAGCAGATCATTATTTAAACATATATTGTTAAATGTAACAGACAGCATAACAGAATATCATCTTTGATAGCGAATATCTTTGTTTAAATGTTTGTATAACCACTCTGAAGATGGCTCATGTGAGCCGAAAGCTTAGATCAAGGACCAGCTTAATAAAAAATATCCAAATGTTGGACAATTTTTGTCTTTATTTTCACCCGAAATTAAAGCAAACATACGAAATTTAGAACGGCCCATTGTCTGACATAATAGACATTCATTGCCTGTTATATTTAATAATATATGCTTAAAAACATGTCTGTGTGGACATAATTACTAGAGGCGGTGATATGTGTTATATGTTTATTTAATACAGTTTGATTTAAGAAATACAGTTTATGTTTATTTAAGAATACAGTTTGATTTAAGAAATTGTCAGATATATGGATTAATGTCATGAAAGTTCATGTTGGTTATTTGATTGATTTTGTTTAGCGGTATATCAACATCTCTATGGCTTTTTTTAATGCCGAAATCTAAATATTTTGAACATAATTTTATGGCTTCAACTAAATATCTTTTGTATGCATTCAACTACAGATAAAATGTATTGTCGATCTTTTTATATAAAGATGTATTACTGGTATTTTTAATATAAAAATGTATTTTTATACTTTCATAGTGTTTATGTTTGGCGGCTCACTCTTTGCCCATAGCTGGGACCCTAACAGGTGCTACCACCCGGGTCAGAGTGGACCTGGGAACAACAGCAATTAAGAGGTGGTTCCACGTTCCTCAAAACCTCCATTTTCCCGATCAAAGGCCGTGCTCCCGGATGTAGTTTATCGTCGTACCCAGGATTTGATTTTATAATAATGTCACTGCTCGACAATCAATAAAGGACTGAAAATTGAATAGAGATCTAAAATTTGTTTTTGAAGTTAAACTTAAAGAAGAAACAAATTTTAAAATAATTAGTTTAATTGACATCTTGCGGTCTTTAGAGTAATTTACTATATTTATTCATCCTCGACAAAACATTTACATTAAACTAGTGAGGATGACAGATAAAAGAATACTTCTTTCGGAAAATAATCTGATATGGTAGAAATAGCTAAAAAGTATTCTTATCATGAGCTCATCTACTAACAGAATAAGGTCTCTTCTTCCTTTATTATATCACGTCTTGAATCTGCACGTTTCCCAATCAACAAATACAAGGGTCCTACTCTATAATGATACCGACAAATTAATGGCGTCTTTAGATAATTGAAGTAAAAAGAAATAAACAGATGTAGTGTTAAGTCTTAAATCTTCTCAATCTGCTATGATCTCGGGGATAGAGTTGTAGTAAGTAAAGGAAATTAGACATAGTCATGGCGACAGGGTTGAATGGTGGTATTATGCATTAAGAAGTCACAGACTGGCCTACTGTCTTTAAAACTATTTATTACAAGGCTCTTTTCACTTGTCAGTAGTGTGGATCAAAACATGCAAAGGCCGGTCGATGTTCTTCTAATTTTGTCTTTCTCCTACTTTTCTTCCTTCTACATTTATGCTATTTTCCAGTTCCTCTTCTTCCTTCTTTATTTATTTATTTTTTTCTTGTCTACTCTAGTTGAAGAAAAGTTGTTTCTTCCGCGAAAATATTTCTTGTCAACAGCTGAATTATATGGCACGTGCGAGATAAAGATTGCGAACGAGTGGAGGAAAAGGAAGACAGAGAAGTAACGAAAAGAGAGAAAGAGAGAGAGTATTAGAAAAAAAAGAGAGTAAGAGACAGAATTCAGGAGGGAGGAAAAAAAAAAAGAAAATTTAAAAAGGATGTTTAAAGAGCGGGAAGAAATAACACAGAAAGGAGAGAATTGAGTTGAAGGAAAAGAGGAAAGAGTTAAAAGAGGAATAAACAGAAAAAAGTAAAGAAGGAAGTCAAATCTCGAATAATGTCAAGGGCAGATAAAAATTAATAAAAAAAGAAGGAAATAGAAAAAGTAAATGAAAAAGGTATTACAAGAAGAAAAATAAAAAACTGGAATTAAATGAAAAACGGTGAATGAAAGAAAACGATTTGAAAAGGAAACAAAACAAATAGAAAAATCAAGAAACAAACCAGAAGCAACAGTTGAAATGTCTCTTAAAACGAAATCTTTTCATGCATTCTGCACTTTTAATCTGATGTAGAATATATGAAAATTGTGCACATTATCTTGATCTGTGTTTGCACATGCGTATTGTAACTATTCGTTTTCCTCAAATTATGCCTTTAACTTTCTGGACTATATTATTCAGTTTTTTCATTAAAAAAAAAACACCTTAAAACTTAGACAAAACACGCAGAGACACGCACAATTCAAAAAAAAAAAATACTTTCCTCACATTCCACCGACCTTCATTGATAAATGCGCTCGTCTTTCGAAAGAATTTCTTCTGAATTCAGTTCCTTTTTTATCGGTATCTCCCCATGCAAGGCATTAAAAACACTAAGACACAAGGAGTTACAGGGTGTGGAAGAATTAGGAACAGAAACATTAATAATGAGCGGGAAAAGGAAAGACTAATCAGGAGGACAGTAGATGGCGATTGACATAGCATTTATATTTTTGCAGATTAAAGTTGGCTGCAAAGCATGGAATTGGAACGGAGTTCCACAAGTGAAAAGTGCGATAGAAGAAACTGTCAGCATAGAATTTACGGTTACATCTAACCAGAACAATTGTAAATTGATGAGATCTCGACGCTAGTTTAGTATTTCGCTTAAATTCAACACGTCTAGGTACCATAGCGAAAATCTCATCTGAACAATTACTATGAAAGTATTTATAGAAAAAGGAACAGAGGTAATCTTATGGTGGTGGGAAAGTGACTGAAGCCAAGCCGTCAGATCAAGACTAATAATATTGCTGATTCTTCTTTGGAATTTATTAAGGGTCAATCCATATGTGGCAGCAAATATTCTAAGCATAGATGTATGACTTATAGATATGTAAGATAGATTCTGGAGAGAAAAATTGTCTTGCACGACACAGTGAACCAACTTTCTTAGCAGCTGACTTAGCAATGGATTCAATATAGTCTTTCCATTTCATATCAGCAGAGAACGTTAACTCGAGAAGTTCTAAGTATTTAGCAATAGAATTGAATGATTCATGAAATAAAATCTATATTATCACGAATTATTTTTATTTCTCATTCCTTTAATAATTCGACAAAATTAAAGAAAGTATTTTTATATACATATTATAGTATTGTGGGGGGAGTAAACGTTCCCAGTAAAAATGTAAAATTGCGTTTGTTAGAAAAAACTGACGCGTTGCCGAGTGGTTAGTGCGTTAATGTTCTAACTATGAAACCTGGGTTCGAATCTCACTATCGTAATTTAGTCAAGGAAACATTTTGATAATATGGTCCTAGTAATAAGTGCCTTGAAAAACCATGCCACGAGTTGATCCAAGCCTTGTGAGTAACATTGGGCAGATGAATCTGGACTGTTGTGCAAGAACATAGCAACAAGTCCTTAACTAATGGACAAATAGAAGCTTTTTAGTTGTGCTTGCATCGAGAGATGGTGTCCCAATCAAATTACCCAGAAGACTGGCCATTTACAGGGATGTATCGGTCTGAAAAATACACAATGAAATTCTTTAACAAATAGTAAGTCACGTAAATTCGCAATAAGGGGAGAGAAAAAAAAAACAGCAAGTTTTTGTTTGTTTATTTGTTTAAAACAATGATGACAATAATAGATACTCCAAATATTTATAATCAGTAATGTCAATTAAGTCTTCCATACTCCAATTTGGCATTGTAATAATTATTTAAGAAAAAATTACAGGCAACTATATTTGATCGAAAACATATATGAAATGCTTCTAGTCAGCTATCTAGAGATATACTGGATTTTAAGACTTATTGAAAGCCTCAAAATATATTAAAACTAGTGTAGCCGTGCCGTCAAAAATGACGGCAATTGTTAGAAAGTTTTAATAGTGAGATGCAAAGAAACAAAAGTCTTGAAACAATGTATTGAAATTCAATAAAGCGGAGATAAAGAATTTACAACTAAAACAGAGACTAATGAAACGTTTAATTAATCCGTTTTCTTTATATTTTTAGACATTTAATCCTATCTATGATTCATTGATTGCTCCTGGCATTATATAAATTGCTTTTTTCTCAGTATCATTTCATTTTAAAAATTTTATGTATTCAATATAACAGTGAAACGGAAATATATCTTGGAAGAAAAAAGATTAATAATAGAAAGTCAAAGACGGCGACGAAAAGGCCCATTTCAAGACCAAGTTGAAGCAAGACAATTACTTATCAGACAAAGGTATCTGAGTACCTCGTATAAAAAAAAGACTTGAACAAATAAAACTGCAATCTAAGAAATGTAGGACTAACGGAAATGATTAATTAAACGGTTCATTTTGCTCGGAAAGAAATTTTATCTAAATGCAGATAAATATTTTTTGTTTGTTATTAAAACGAGAAAGAGAAGTAATCAGAAATTTACTAACTTAACTTGATTTACGTTCCTTTCCACTACAGCTGGAAGAGGAAATATATAAATCAATACACATTGATAATTAATATATGCTTTGAATGTTCGTTCAAGAAGACAGAAACCGCACAGTTTGGTTATAATATTTAGTACACACTGCAATTTTGTGTAAAGTAGTCGTATATGAAAACACTGAAATTTAGCAGTTTCAGTGCTTATCTCTTTGGTATCTTACTTTATTATTTTAGATTGGATCAAATCAAATATAGATAAGTTTTGTCATATAAATTCTATTTAAGAACGATCTTCCTATTCTTATTATAACATGTCGTTCCCGCCAACAAATTTCATTAAAAGCAAATGACTTTATAAAGTATGTCATTGAAAACAAGAACGATAAAATTAAAAATAAAATTATTAAAGACAATAACAATTAATAATTAATTAAAAAGCATGAATTAAAAACAAAATTAATTAAAAACAAAATTAATAAGAATAATAATTACTAATTAGAAACAATAAAAATAAAATCAAAAGAGCTGAATGAGATCGGCTAAGTTAAACATATAGACACCGGAGACGTTTCGACGTAGTGTAATGGTTAGCAAGCTTGTCTCGCTACAACTAAATAGTGAGTTCGATCCTCACTGAGTGCCTCCTACTTTCAGCCTTATGCCACATCTAAGTTACGCTTAGAAAATCACCATATAGATACACCAGAAGTCAAACATTTAATTCCATAATCATTACTACAGTTCGTTTGAAGTTATGCAAATAACATGAATTTGTTCTGAAATTTTTTTCTTAAATTTAAAATGATTAATTTAGACATCAAAACAAAATTTGCGTTAAATTTGTAAGTAGTTTCAACGTATTTTATTCACGTTATTGGATTTATTTATTATAATAACTTCAATCTGAAGTTATACAGTTTAGACTAATGTTAGTTTAAGGACTCTGAAATCTAATAAAAACTTTTTTTTCTTTTTTTTCCCATATGTCCAAACATGGGTAATGGAAAGTATCTAACAAATACTGAAAAACAGAAAATAGTAAAGTTATTGAGTTAGGGAATGTCCACATTGAAGATATCGAAGGAGCTTTGCAGAGATCATCGTACAATAAGGAGTGCTGTTGAACGTATAACTAAATTGATGCAAAGGATTTAAGAACTTGTCTTCTATGGGAGAACGTAAACTAAATCGAGTTATTTTAAAAACAACCACTTTTGACCAGTGCTCAGATCTTTGAACAGGAATTCTGGAAATCAAGAAGTACAATAGAATACATCGCAAACTGGGATCTGTTAAGAAATCTCATAGGCAAGAGCCTCTCATTAAATCATATATTTTAATGCGTCAAAATTGGGCCGAGAAATGTATGAAATTGATTGTTTTAAAATAACTGTCACAAATTTCTGGTGACACTCGATCAAACTGGTGGATGCGCCAATAGATAGATTTTATCCCATGCAGAAGTGCATGTAGCTAAAATGAGGCGGTAAGGTAGCGGAAGTGCGATGATAATGGCTGCAACTGTCAACCAAACCATTATTGGATCATTCAAAGTCGATAAAGAAGTTAAACTGAACTTTACTAACTATTGGGATTTCATGGATGAAACTGAATGGTACAAGTCCCTGCCTTTTTCAATGTGGAGTGTGTATTTATGGACAACAATACTCCTTCTCGTGTATCTAAGGTTATCCGTGAATTTTTTGAGCGTAAAAAGATTTACATGAGAAAAGATAATGAAATGGCCACCATCAAGTCCCGATCTGAATCCGGTCGAAAATTTATGATCAATTGTGAAGATGAAATGATATAAAGGTAGCAGTCAATAAGACAGCAAAGCAGAACTATGGGAAACAGTTAAAGTCACCATGTCAGAAAATTAATCTATTGAAGTAAAAAATAAAAAAAAACAATCGATAATAGATTGCTGACTGTTATTGAGAAAAAGGGTCAATGCTTCAATGACTTATCAGATATGTTTGCTATTTGTTCTATTTTATGTGTTGATTAATTGTTGATGATTTTATTACTTTGTGAAGTAAAAAGTAATTTTCTGATTTTGTATAATAACTCCAGACTGCAGTTTTTTTTTATAATCCAATAATTTTAATAAATCTTATTGAAACTACCTAAAAATTTACCTTAAGATTTGTTTTGAAGCTTTCTAAATTCTTCGTTTAAAATTTGACAAAGGTTTTTCAAAGCAAATTCGAGTTATTGAGATTTATGTGATTTGCATAATAACTTCAAACGGACTGTAGTATGAAGAATTTCACCCTCGGGACGAAACGCGTCAATTTGGAAGTTTTTTTTTTTGTTTTGTTTTGTTTTGTTTTTTTTTTTTTGATTTTGTCATTCGATTATCCAAAAGATATAAATAATAAATCCTAAAAGAAGAAACTCGTACAATGTCCACTACCTCAAGCTGGTTCCTCTTTATGTTTTATGGTCACCAATGATGTGGTCATTGGTAAAATAAAAGCAAATGAAACCTGGTGTTTTTATAGAGTCAAAGTATGCCAGAAGTAAGACTAAATTTATTTAAGGCAATGCAGGGCACCAGAAATGACTAAATATTACCTTAGTGTTAATGCAGCCTCAAAATTAGGAATTATCAAGTAACATATTGATGCAAATAACATCTTAATTATATTAATTAAATTAAAATTCCTATAACAAATATAATCTTTGTCAAATGAATCATTTCTCTCTTACTTCCCTACAAATACTGTAGGAAAAAAAAATGTTCGTTCAAGAAGACAGAAACCGCACAGTTTGGTTGTTGCTGTTCTTAAAGTGCTTACTTAGATAGCGATTTTTAAGAGAAAGATAGGGAAGTGTAAAAGTGATAATCTTTCATTGCAATCTTAAATGATCCCACTTGAAATTAAGTCACGACACTTACTACATATAAACGAACGTCATTGCTCTACAAATAGACAAACCTTTTATTGTTTCAAAATCATAATCCTCTTCAACGTTTTCTCTCGCTAGTTTGTTTGTTGGTCCCTTTTCATTGCAATGATTATTATTATATTCTCCTTTCATGTGACCGGAACCATTAATCTAGTTCCATTAGATATTTTAAACATTTTAATTTTCAAACATTTCACGGTTGTATAATGACTGCATCGAAGTTTCTAGCAGACATTCATGTACGATCATAGGCGAATTTTTTGTAAACTGCTATATTCTATATTTTTAAGAGTCTCTAAGAGTTTTCAATAATCGCTACTTTTTAGAAGTTCTATCAATTTTACATCGGCCCCACAATTGATTATTTTCAGATTTTATATACGATTGACCGCATTTAAATGCTATTTTTCTAGATTTTTGCTGGTTTGTTTTAAAAGTAAATATTAAAATAAGTAGAACAAGAACATGGTTTACATAAAGTTATTCTGAATTTAGATAACGATCCATAAATAATATAAATAAAAATAAAGACACATAATTACTAAAATGGGAAAATAAAAAGCAAATGTTCTATATTAAAATGTCATATTTATCCCGTCGCTAGTGTTTGGAATGGAGGAACTCACCTTTAAGTCGGAAGGGTTAAGAAGAGTAAGAATTTTCATAATAAAATTAAGTCATATTATCTTCAGTGAGAGGTGTAAAAGATAGAGAGGGTTACAGGACCCTCATCCCTTTTGGCGGTTAACCTGCCAGTGAATGGGTTATAAGTAGTTTCAGTCGTGAAAGTGATTGTATTTCTTTAAATGTCATTCAAGATTTATTTTTTTACGTTACCAATTTTGGCGACAGATTTAAAGAAATATGTTTTTATTTTGCACAGAAATTGTGGCCAAGTATTAATCGATGTTTTCGACGCACATTGAAGGAGCATTACACTGAAGATGCCGAGGAAGCCTGGCAACTGATCTTCCTCTACATATGCGCTCATATGAAAAACGGAATGCAAAACAAAGCATCATAATCAGGGAATTTTTTAAAAAAACCTTCGTTAACAGACACACTATAAATCAAAGAGACTGGATACTTTTATAAACGTTCAATATTAAGAGAAATGTAGCGACATATATGCTGTTGTCATTTTTAAAATGGCAGTTGTTGGAATCCCAAAAAATGAATTTATTTTAATTAAAACAAAATAATTGGAAATAATTTGTCTATATTTCTGAGATAAGGTCTTGTAACTATTTACACTATTTACATTATTCGGACTGTTGTCCTCATTTTTATTGTCACGTTCACAACATTTCGGCCGTTGTACGCTCCGGCCTTCTTCAGATTAACTACTTTGGGTTCAGTTCGAAATTCAAAAATATATCACCTGAATAAGGCTGTAGCGTACAACGGCTGAAACGTTGTGAATGTGACACTAAAGATGAGGACAACAGTCCGAATAATGTAGTTGTAGTGTAAGTTGAAATAATTTATAATAAATTAATAATAACAATTTATTTAACTAAAAAAAAAAATGACGCTTTTACAATTAAGGTCTAACAATTAAACTATTGCTACATCTGCTCTGCTCTTCGTCACGTCCAGACTTGACGTCATTGACATTAACCGTCCATTTTAGCGAAGGATATCTCTGTAAAAAATGATATTATAACGAAAACTGTCCTTTTGGGTATTAAATATTTCATAAAAATACTTTTATTAACTGTTGACGAGTCGATTAACAAATCTAAGTAATCGGAAATGATAGCTGTAAGTGTATAAGACAACGATTCTTAATGAGCTTTTTTAACGAACACTTCACCGGAATAAAATTTAATTTATTTTCAGTTTTAAGTTAAAACAACTTTTTTTAATATAAAAGTAATTTCAATTAACGAAGAGCAGAAAGCAATATTTTTTCTCCGTGGTATGTTACGCATTAAATGTAAAACAATTCTTTGTTATTGTTAAAAAATAATTTTATTATAAATTTTTTATAAATATTTTTATATTTTTTATAAAATATATTTTTTAATTCTTTCAAATAATATCATTTTCCATTTTTAAAATGATTTCAGCACATGTCACTACATTTCTCTTGACATCACATATTTAGTAAAATACCATAGACTGTATAGTGTATTTTATTTTTTTTAATTTATGATGGTGAAGATGTTTCCATGATTTAGCAGAAATTAAAACAATTGCCAAGATATTGGTTTCATAACAACTTGTGAACAAAGATCATTAAGTAATTCTATAATCGCCCTCTTGTCAAAATGTTCATCAGTATTACGTAATATTATATACAAAATATAAATTCATCAGAAATGTTCATATCATTGCAAATACAGAAATACCTTAAATTGTGCGGTCAATTTATTCCGAAATATATCCTGATGGTTCCATGTCTTATTATAATTGTTTTCAATGTAATTCATTTGAACCGAAACAGAAAAGAAAGATAATAAAAAACGAAAATAATGAAACCTTCTTCTTCTTGATTGAAACATCTAAGTAAAAATCATTTGTAACTCGTAACAAGCAAAAAAAAATGTTTAGAAAAGACAAAAACAGTGCTTACAATTTGAACAAAAAATTAGGTAAACATGGACCTTCATGGCCGCAAAAAAAAGAAGAAAAAAAGAAGAAAAGAAAACAGAGTGACAAAAGGATGGTTTTTACAATTTATTTTAATTACATTCATTCTTTTTCTGCAATATTTGTTTTAAAAAGCGATTATTAGAATTGTAATAAAACCTCAACATATGAAAATTTTATACATTTTCTTTGTTCTTGAGAAAGACAGTAAAGATAATAAAAACTATTTATTTATTATATTGTTTAATTACATTATTTATTATTACATTTTTATTTGCATGTTTGGCAAAACATTGCCTATTTGCAAATTGATTTGAACTTTATAAAATCCTTGTAGCTGGTTCACATATTTTAATAATTTAGTAAATGTTTATAAATTTATGAATAAAAAATTGTTTTCATATTTATATCTTTATAAATTGGTCAATGATAAATATTACATTGAATTTATTAGTTTTAATTGTATTAATCTTGATGCAAATATAAAATCATTCTCGGAAATAATCTAATAAATAAATAGTGTTTAATATTTTTGTTGTAAATTCTTAAGAAAAAAAATTATAAATTCACTTTCATCATATATTTAGGTTTTATAAACATTGCCGAAAGTGAGATTAAAATAAAAGCAGTGTTATGGGGGGGAAAACATTCTTTTTTAACACTTGGTTTTCTACGGGCTTTCGTGTCCATGTTTTTACCAAAAATTCGCGGAGAAATCATCTTTGCACCGTTCTTCTATTTGTCTTTAGACATTTCTCTGTCGTAATTTGCTGTTCTGTTCAAACGTTAGGATCAGCATTCATGAAGAAATCAGAAACATCTTCTATTTTTCGAAAGAAAGTTGAAATGAAAAAGTTTTGTCGTCCGGATCATTTGAATGAAATTCAATGCATTGCCACACAGTGGTAGAATCAAATTATTAACTACAGACACTGTTCTTATATTCATTATTGTATTTCTGCAAAGGTACAATCAGCCGTCGTACTGTATTAAATAAAAAACAACAAATAAAACTCTCACTATTCAAAGTAATGCTGTAGCCGATTGTTGCTCATCGCGCACGCGCAAACACACACATCTGATGTTGGCTTCTACATCATCATCAATATTTAACCAATATTGCCTTGAACAGTTGATCCTTTTCACAGAAAATTCTTTGTTGCACAATGCCAAAACGATAAAAGTATTTTCAGGTCTTTATATAAAGTACTCGTTATAAACATTTTTTTTATAAATGCAAGTTTTATTTCCGCTGAGCTGCAATGTAATAAAGTTTTGATTTCACTATTTACGTTTTTTTTTTCTTTTTTTATAATGGTGTTTGAACATAAACTTTTATTTTTTAACTTTACGCTATTTTCAAAAAATGTTATTCGGCTTAACTGTTTTGTAAATAAATTTTATTATAAATAAAGATAAAGTTGATTTAAGCGTTTTTCTTTTTCAAAGTACACACATTTTTTACCATTTGTAAGTGTAGAATTAGATTTCTACATTTTGTGTTTTAAACCTTTTAAAAGAGGATCCCAGCTAAGTATTCTCAGTTTGTGCTGAATCGGTCCCAGAGTTCAGTACGAAACAATGCTTTCTGATTGGTCCATAAATAATAATGTCATGTTTCTGCCTACGTCCGCACGGTTGACCTGTTCAATGCGACAAAAATTGGTAAACATTCTCTCGAGATCAAGAAATTTCGTAAATATGAAACTTCGATGCGACTTAGTGGGTCCTTAAAATAATCAACTCGTCACACGATTCCATGAAAGGCAACTTCCTCGCTAATGTTGGGAAATTTGTCCCGGCTTTCCCGCATCAAAGAGTTGAGGTTAAAAAATCGCGACAAAACACGAGTAAAAACAGCAAGATTAGAGCGGACAAACTCTCTCTTTTAGGCACGGACGAATAAAGAAAAACTCCTGCTCGGCGTGTAACAATAAAAGAAGAAAGTGTTTATTTACATATACAGAAAAAAAGGGGTAAAGGGATAAAGACAATTAGGAGTGAAAGAAAGAGAAAATAAAATGTCCTTTAAGGGAAGAGAAAATGTTCATAACAGCAAAAAGGCTTGCTCAAAATATTTCTCTGAGCGCCTAAAAAGTTCTTTAACCGATTAGAATTTTGTTAAGGTTTAGAAACATTCACAGTTCTTGTAGAGTAGGAAAATTGTTGGTACATATAGGAATCTTGCAGTTAAGTGAGTTCGTAGGTCGACGACAGACGTCCAGTGGGCACGACAGAAGGAGTAGTGATGCAGCTTTCAATTGGTTTTTAGTAGTCGGCTGACGGTCTGTCTTTCCAGCCCAACAGGAATTTCTTCTATGGTTGAAAGTAACCCTGAAGTTGACTGGAGCTCCCTATCATCGACCTTACAGACGGTGGGCTGAATCCTCACTGCCAAATAGGCGTAGATTCTCCAAATTTATGGAGATTTGGGAGGATCAGAAGGATCGGGGACTTTTCCCTCCAAAATCGTTATACAAATTTCCTGGTCCCTCCACTGGTCAAAAAACAAATTTTTATCTCTGATAAGAATCAAGGCTTTGGGAGCCGGTTTTGCAAGTAATGAAAACAGGTTGGCGTGAACAAGCTGTGAGGTCCCCCCCCCAAACTGGTGGTGGAATTCCTTCTTATATCTTCCGGCTCTCTCGTTAGTCAGAAAATATATTCTTATCACTGATAAGAATCAAGGCTTTGGGAGCTGGTTTTGAAAGTAAAAAGAGAGGCTGGAGTGAGGATAGAAAAAGTAGCTAGAATGTGAACTTGTAAAATATTGTTCTCAAATTAAATTCCAACAGTAAAAGTTAATTTTTATGAACATCAACCCGGTTTGTGGAATTCAATTTCTTTTCAACATCAATTCATCTACAGTAAATCAAGCAATTTATTCCATTCAATTTTACTATCAACATAAACTGCTTAATTTCTTACCAGATCTATAGAATAACAACTTTTATATTACCCTTGATCACACAACTACAATGTCACATATGAAAACCAAATCAGAATCAGAAATTGTAAGGCTCTGTAACTTTAAAGTGTTTTAAACAACGTTATTATATCGTGTGTACTTGTTATATAAATATATATTCTGTTAAAACAAATATCTGCCTATCTGATTATTTCTCTTATTGTTGTTGTCTTTGTTAGATTTGATTTTAGGGAAAATAGTAGAGGGTCAGTTTAATTTGTATTTGTCACCGATACAGATTGGCTAACCCACTACATAAGTGAATTACTCCTTATCGTATCTATTTATTTGTCACACATCTTTTAATTAAAGGTTATGGACTAAAATGTATATTTTAAATGATACAGAAAGTGTTATCTAATTGTATTGTTATATTTTCATAATATTCAATTCAATATATTTGCTATTTACACTGAATCTATGCTGCGAAATAAATATTTGGTCAATAATGATTTTTTCCA